TGATGATGATGATGATGATGATGATGATGATGATGATGATGATGATGATGATGATGATGATGATGATGATGATGATGATGAAAATAGTATTTTGTAAAAATTAATAATATCACTATACATATATTGCATTTATATAGCGCCCTATCCCATATGAGTAGAGGCTGTGAGCGCTTACACTATTATACAACACTTACTCTTACGATCTGACATATCCATACAGACCTAGACGGTCAGAGAGTACTTTTAATCTCCTATACTCCCTCAGAGTGTACACACTCTCACCCACACACTATGAGTGCAGTCAAAAATTCGTGGCGCAACTTGTTGTCAAATCGTTTCCCCAGAATTACACAGTTCTTTCTTCTCAATACCTAGTTTGGGAGAAATTTGACATCCAATAATTATGTCAAACTTTTTTCGAACGCAGTTCTTTGAATATTTTGAAAACGACTCCGATATTCTAACGATTTTGATAGAGCAGGTAGAGCAGTTGCTTTCTAACCTCATGGTGTTAATAACTTCAAACAGCCTGAAATGTCAGATAGAAATTTGTCAACCTGAGGTAGCGAAATACTTCCTCAATTATCGTTCCTAAAGTCTCCAGCATTTGCACAATGACTTGTATCAGTTTGACTTAACAAATCAATATTTTTTAAATACCAGATAGCTTAATAATATATCAATCATAAATACTTAGTAAATATCCCCGTAAGTGGTTTCTACCGATTTTTAAAAGGTTCACAGCTGGGACAACATCACTTTTAAAAGCAAGTCGGTCATTTAAAAAAAATTGCAACACCATGCTTATTGAACGTATATTTTAAGAACATTACACATTAAGAGCAAAAGCGTTTTCACTATACTATAGAATTCATTTATTGTAGAAAGTTTTGCCACTAAAAAGTGTCAGTGGTGAACTGTGACGTAGGCTATATGCGAATGAAAAATGTGCGTGAGAAGCTGGAAGGGCTGTGAATAATCCCATTTTCTGCGTGACAGAGGTTTATGGTATTTTATATAAATCTAGGGAGAAAATTTTTAATCTTTTAATCTAGCTTAAACTGTTGAGGAAAAATATGATTAAGTAAAGACAAATTGATACAAACTGTTGTGCAAAGTATGGATGACACTGATTAAACCGTTAAAGAGATATTTTAGTCCCTTTCGTTAATCCGTTTTAACTGCGTTGCGTGTTAGAGACATTTAGCTATGCACATTAAATTGTATGGGTATAAAATAGTTGTTTGAAAGGGGGATCCATTTACTTTGAGGATAAGTTGCGCCATGAATTTTTGACCGCACTCGAATGCACTCACGCATGATTCGTACATACTCATTCATATGCATTCACACTGCTATATTCACGTACACAAACACAGTTCGGCTCACCTGCTCGGGTCTCTGTTTTTTTACGTCGTAAACGTCTCCCGACGAAAACGGTCAGTCGACCTTGATCTTTCGTTCTGTTTTACCAAACTCCCAGGACGTAACCTTTAAAGTCGTAATTAGCAATGGTCGAAGAAAGGCAAAAATGATATAATTAAAATATTGTAGTTGTAGATGTTCTACGCCCAAGTCGACACAATTTAGACCTTAGAAATACAGGAGGTGGACTCCTTCGACCATGCTAGTCGGGGCCAATCCGGGCTGAGAAAAATACTTTAAAAAACAAAAAACAAACAAAAACAAAAGCAAAAAACACACAGGGATACTTGGTTAAAACGAAAAACCCTCCCGACACGAGAATCGAACTGGCGTCTTCTACGTACGACGAAGGAGCGTTTAACCGTTACACCTCAGACACTGTTGGAATAGAAGCCTCGACTGAGGTCCTACTTGGACTCCCAGTGAGATCCCTCACATAAAGACATTTGTACCAGAGAGCCGTTCTCTTTGATGTTTCTCTCCAAAAGTTCCGGAATCTCCAGTTTCTCCTGACACTGATCCCGTACAAAGTCCTGGCTCAATCACAGCAGGGGCGGCGTGGTGCGAGACTGGACAATGGTCAGTTATTGGGTGCAGTTAACCGGTTGGGTGGCTACGCTCGTTAGTCCGGGAAATGAACGATAGCGCTTGCCGGTCACGTGATAATTTCTTATAACCTCTGTAAGTCTTTCGGGGGAAGGGGGGTCAACGTTGACCGCATGGGGTAGACTTTGTTCCAGACACTGTTTATGTGTGGGAATTCCAAGGAGGTCATATAGTAAAATCCATTGGGTATTTGAAGCTGTGAGACAGCTAGTATTTGACTCTCTCTCTCTCTCTCTCTCTCTCTCTCTCTCTCTCTCTCTCTCTCTCTCTCTCTCCCTCACCCTCCTTCATCCCCATTACCAGGTGG